ATTTTTAATCTTCATCTAATATACTTTCCAATACTATAAAACTTTAATACTAAATCACTGATTATTGACTATCTTGAATACTGCATTACTGGCTTTAATATTCTAATAATGACCACTGCATGCTATATACTGTCTAATACTCACTATTGACTACTAACATACTGTCCTTCCTTCTCCAAATCACAGAGTATTTATATCATTTCAATGTTCCAGAATATTCTTGAAAGAAAATATATTCGAATCCTTCTATTATTAGCGCACTCAAATATATTTATAATATGATAATTATTAAAATAACGAAATACATTGCAAAATAAAACTTATTATTATGCTAATTTCTTAAGAATACCCTCATATAAATACTTTTTATAATATTATCTAGTATATAATATATAAATAACATATACATTATTTCTTTAATCACTATATAAGTTCATTCTAGATTACCTTCGTTTCTCCTATATTTAATATTACCTCAATATATATATATATATATATATATATATATATATATATATATATATATATATATATATATATATTATTTAGTCACTTAACATTTCGCCAACTGGCACTGTAACGGGTAGCTCTTTCAGGACGACAGACTCAGTAAAACACAGGTTAAAATAAAAATATGTCTATTGATCTAATATATGTACAATATATATGAAAATAAAATAAAATAAATCCTGTGCCGTAGAAATTAACTCTGCGCTCCGTCTGGATCCCGTGATGAATGAATCCCCGGCGGACGCCTATAAAAGAAAGAAAGAAAATAATTATTAATAACAAATAAAATAGGTGTAGTCAATCGCACTCAGACGTATATTCGCTTCCGCTTCAAACCAGCGTTACAGCACTACAAATTTATTAAAACAAAAAAGAAAATTACGATAAAATTGCATAAATATTTACTTACAGGGGTAAAACTGTTCACAAAAAAGACATGTCAAACATTCGTTTAACAATTTCACAATTAGACCGACAATTTTCAAAATAAGTTAATATACGCTTAAAATAACAAAAAGTATATAGTGCACTAGACGAGTTTCTTTAAATTTCTATAGACAGTGTGGAAACCACTTATGGAATAAAATTGTTTGTGTCCTTATTATAAAAAATAATCAAAAACTCTGGGACACGTTAACTTTTAAAATTAAATGTGCTCTTTTTAAACATAAGTATAAATGTACAGGGTGATCCACGCAAGTCTAGCATAGTCCATAATTCTTATTTTTAATGAAACACCCTGTAAATTTTTATGTTTATAAAATACTTTTAACAACGTGATTTTAATGAACTATATAGGGTCTATAATGAATAATACAAGGTGAAATTTTGAAATTAATAGTTTATCACGTGTTATGGTATTATTTTAAATTAGCTAAATACAGACAATAAACTTCTACTCTAAGTATCAGTACACTGAATATTGGGGAAAATTTCTGTTTAGTAACCGTGTTAACATTTTTTGTCGTGAATAGGTAAACACTGTATAGATAGTCTGCTAATTAAACTAAATCGGCAAATAATGCGAATTGTTATCAATCAGTTGACATGCTGTTGACATTTTACAATAAAATAATAAATTCTTAATTAAAAACTAATTTCTTGTAGAAATAAAAATGAAATATTTAACTAAGGCCCATCGAATTGAAATTTTAATGATGATCGGTTATGGGGAGAATTGTAGAAGTCAAGTTGAAGTAGCAAACTTATTTACTCAGAGGTATCCTCAATTGCCTAATATTTCACAAGGTAATGTGTCTAAAATTTATGCACAATTCAGAGAACTTGGATATGTCAAACCATTAAAAAGAAAATCGAACTTCATTGAAGATGAAGTGAAAGTGGATATTTTGTTAAGTGTCGCAGAGAATCCAATGTCAAGTTCACGTCAAATTGCACATCAAAATAATGTGAGTCACACAACTGTCCTAAGGTGTCTCCATGAAGAAAACTTCATCCATATAAATTGACATTTGTGCAGGAGCTAACAGAAGACGATCCGTATCGTAGATTGGATTTCTGCAAAAGAATGAGAGATAAAATTAACAAATGAAATAGCTCTTGGCACAATTCTTTTTTCCGATGAATCAAAATTTACATTGAACGGAGAGGTAAACTGACAAAACTGTAGATATTGGTCAGCGGAGAATCCTCATTTAATGCGTGAGACACACACTCAGTATTCTCAAAAGTTGAATGTTTGGGCAGGTATTATAGGAGATCATATTATTGGTCTTATATTTATAGATGATAATTTGACAGCGGGAAAATATTTAAACATGCTAAGAGACGATGTTCTTCCTTAGTTGGCTAACTTATATCCCAATCCAATAGATCCGACCCTACCGCATGAAACTGTCTGGTTCCAGAAGGACGGTGCAACACCCCATTATGCTTTAATGATAAGAAATTACTTGAATGAAATTTTCTTGAATAAGTGGATTTGATGAAGGGGACTTAAGCCAGCTAGGTCGCCAGATCTTATGCCTTTTAATTTTTTTTGTGGGATTATCTCAAGAACAAAGTATATGCAACACAATCAACTATCATTGAAGACCTCAAAAAGTAAGGATAACTACAGAAATACGGAATATTTCAACTCAAACTTTAAACAAAGTTCGGAACGAGTTTTATAGAAGACTGTGTTATTGCCAACAACAAGGTGGAAAACATGTTGAGCATTTATTTTAATGTAATGCAATCAATTTCCTCGGGTATTATATGAATTCATTGTCTTGAAGAAAATACCTAATTTCAAAATTTCACCTTGTATTGTTCATAACAGACCTTACATGATATAGTTCGTTGACATCAGGTTGTTAAGAAGCTTTTAAAAACATGAAAATATGCAGGGTGTTTCATTTAAAATACAGATTATACACTATGCCAAACTTGCATTGATCACCCTGTACATTCAAATTTATGCTTAAAAAGCGTACATTTAAATTTAAAAGTTAAAGTATCTCAACGTTTTTTATTATTTTCTAAAATAAACACACAAACAATTTTATTCCATAAGTGGTTTCCACACTGTATATAAAATAAGGTAGCAGGTAAATCGGAAATTAACATTGGTTAAATGAATTGAAGAATATTGCTGTAAATGCTGCTTAGTTGATTCGTATCTGCTTTATAATTTATTTCATTTTTTATTTTAATAATATAACACATTTCCAGAAACAGCCTGTTTTTATAATTGGTTGTTGTTTGTGTTTGTAGGATTTAAACATTGGTGTAGTCAAATTTGTGACCTGTATTCATGGAGTGGTCGACAACAGCGCGTGTGTTTTTACCTTTATGGCAGTCACTTTTGTGCTGGGTAATACGTTGTTTTAACCAATAGCCTGTCTGTCCAATATAGCAACCTTCGCTGCCTAAACACGCTATTTTATAGATTGTATTGGTAGTGTACATTATCTGGTATCTTTAACACGAGAAAATAGAATTTTGTTACTAATACCGCTGTATCTACCAATTCTGATGTTATTGTATATTTTGAAGAGGGCTGTAATCTTATTTCTTAGATTACTAATGAAGGGCAATCTTTTATATGTAAAGTTTTTTGGAGCATCTTTATCCAATGGTCCATCATAATAGTGGGAGTTTTAAATTACTTGTTTAAGGAGTGTTTTTGGACAACTGTTGTTAATAAATATATATTATATTTATAAAAATATAACAGAGTTTATTTAACTAGTTATGGGACGTAGAGGAACATTTTCTTTATGAATTTTTGGTAGACGGTATAGTTTTGGAAAAGAAGAATTGTAAATAGTAAGTTCTTTTGCCTGTTAGTCAGTAAGCTATTTTTCGGATTTTAATCTCTTTATTAAGTTATTAAATGAAGTTTGTATTGATTTTGTTGGATCTTTAGGTTGTCGTAAATATGTTAGAGGGTCATTGAGAAGTAACTCAGTTTTTTTAATATAGTCATCCTTGTTGAGAGCAACAGTGTAATCACCTTTATCAGACTCCAAAATAAGCTTAAGCTTCTTTACAATTTTACACACTTATAATAATTTTTCTGTGGATATTTGGTTTTTCATATTGTTTTTTTTTAGATGAACTGATTAGAAAGCGAAACGTCTTCAATAAATAGATGAAGTAGCCACCATCTTCGTCTTTTTGCTCTCCACCTTTTGACCGAAAAACCCACCACTCTCTTCGAGTGATCCTTAATATATATATATATATATATATATATATATATATATATATATATATATATATATATATAAAAGAAAGACAAGGTAGTCCAAAATTTTTTTACTAGTTTGGAAAAAATATGTAAATACTTTTTTCTTTTTGGGTGTGGTAGTCAATAAAAAATAGAGCTTTGCTAAGGCGTACTATTTATTCTGAAATCCGAGCTTTCGGTGGTTGTTTGCCACCTTTATCAAGGTCTACAATGAAAATTACTGTGTTATAAAATTAGGCTGATGTAATATAAAAGTTATAAAAACTTGCCAGAAAGTAAGATTCATAGCATATAAAACACAACGTTAAATAAATAACATAATGTGATCTGAATTACTAAAGCCATTAAAACTTAAAAATTTTAAAATAACTTAAAAATAAAAGAACATGTTACAAAGTTTAAAAAGTAAAAAATAAGACGACATGTTTGACAAAAAACAGTCGTCTTCACAGGTTTGAATTCAGTCACATCTCACGAACAGAAAGAGGTAGTAGGAGTAACTATTGTTGTTTAAATAGTTCGATGTAACTACATGTAGTTATACATGTACATATATATATATATATATATATATATATATATATATATATATATATATATATATATATTTATTTAGTTCAAATTTCTTTTTTCGTCTCATCACAATTTAAAAACGATTAAACTGACGCATCTCTTTGCAATATTACTGATAAACTATTCCAATACAATAAAATCAAATAACTAATCTCAACCATTATCAATTATTATTACAAGAGTAGATGAACTCTGACATCGCCTTCAATGAAATTGTCTCAGTTGATTTGGTTGTTTTAGTGTGGCTGTACGGGCACGCAATCCACTGTATACGCTTTTAAAAAATAATATCGAGACAATGTGGAGGACTAAATCAGTGAATATGAAGTTTGTTTATTTGATTATTGTTGCTTGTGTGATATGGGGGGATGGTAAGTTGTATGTGATTTATGATAAACGGAAGTTTGACTAATATTTTTTAATGAAAGCAGTTTTTAGTATTTTTCATGTGCTAATAATAGTATTAAAGAAGACTAAAACAATTGGTCTTAAGCTAAGGTATAGAAGAAAATAATTTATTATGACAAATTAACTTTCCTTAGCTTTTAAAAGTTATTACTTTCCGACATATATATGCAAATATTGAGTATTAAACTGTTTTATCACTTGTGTTTTGAATTTTTTTTATATATTTATGCACGTGACAAATTATTGACCCCTATTCTGGTTAGGAACTTTTTAAAATGAAATTGGATGAGATGCATTTTTTTTATTTAACCTTATTTTAACAATATGTTTCTTTCATTGTAACAATTAACAATAAGTCAAATGTATGTCTAGTACTCAGTGGTCATGTAGGGATCACTTCCAATAAGGTTTCCTTTTAACTAAACATTGACTAATGACAACATAACTCCAATTAATGTTTTAAGATTACTTAATATCTATTTCAATCTGATCTTAAAATCTAGATATATATCTGTCAGTACAGGTCTGTTTGTTTATACTGCTTTAGTCTGTGCACTTCACCACTAACGTCGAACAGATCTCACGCAACCACGTTGGGATGTACACCTAGTCCCTCTTTGTATTTTCTGCTGAAGTAGGAAATCTCTTCCTTGGTAATAGGAATTTTCCACTTCTCTTCCTATCATTTCATTGGGCAGTACCAGGAAGCATTTACTATCATTTTGAGAATTTTATTTTGAAATCTTGGATTTCCAAGTTAGAATTACTGGCTATACCCCATAATTTTATCCCATAAGTCCACAAGAGTTTTATTATAGATTTCTAGATACCTAAGTATTTCATTTTCTGTGATTAGTAGTGATTTTCTACTAATCATCCAGTAGAGTTTATGTAGGTTAAGTCCAAGTTTCCTTCACTTTCACCAAATTAGTCTTCTATCCAAATATATACTTAGATATTTTGTAAAGTCTGCCTGTGTTAGTTGACTATTATTTAAACAAACTGCAGGAAAACTGATAATATACAAATATTTTGTATTTGAAGGTTTTGTAAATACCCACAATTCTATGCCGTAGGTCCAGATGAGTCTCAGTATAGTTTTGTGTATTATCAGCTTATTTTCTTGTATTCATTTTAAATTTTTGGCAATGAGTCAGTTCATTTATTGGGTTTTGAAACTTAGTTATTGCTTTTTTGATCGATTATATACATATCACGTTAATTTTTGGTCAAGGCAATGGCCTAAATATTTGATTCGTATTTCATTGGGAAATATTGGTTGTTATTTAGGACTTAAGGACATAAGGTGTGTCTGGATCGTGAAAGTTATCTGTGCAGATGTCTTGATGTTTACTAAAATCCTCCACTCATGAAGGCAATCTTAATGCAACTTAACTTGGTCCTGGAGTTTTCCTGATCCTTCTAATGGATGTTCGTCCAATGCTATTATTGCAGTGTCGTCAGCGAAGGTTGCCCGATTAGTTAAGTTGGTTGTTAAGATATCAGCTGTATAAATTCGATACAAGTATGGATACAAAGACCACATGTATTGTTACAACAGCAAATTTACTAATATATAAATTAAGAATAGAGAGACAGATAATAAAACAAGTGATAAGGTTTAAATATATGAGCATCACACTGTTTAGTTAACGAAAGCTTAAAAATAAGTGAAGGATCAAGTGCATTTATTAAACAAAGCAGTAGGTTTTCAGGAGAAAAGTCCTAGGTTTTTAACCAACGTGACTAGAAGTCGATATTTAAACTCGTCATGTATGTTTATATCGATTGATATAGGATTTTCGGAATTTTTACCAAACTTCCGGACATAACTTTAATTCACGTCGAAAATTATATCGCTTGCACTATGTCGGCTACTTAAAAACAGTACTTCTGATTGCAACTCTGGAACCAAAAGTGCGAGGTCAACTTTCTTACCTTTATAATACCATTTTAGGTTTATAAACTCTCATTTGACACTAAATTTGTCACTTGCCATTTGACACTTTACTTGTTTTAATAAAGGAGGAGTTGTGTATGAAACTTGATTTTCATAAGTATAGATACTCCAGTCGTCAGAGACGAAATTGCCACTGAACCTCTAAAAATCATACGAACAAGTTGAATTTTGCCGAGAATATTAATTTTAGGACCCCAAAAAAGGTACAAAAAAGTTTACCACATTAGCTTCTCCCTAAAACCCCTTCGCAGGAGGATACCAACGCAAAAAATCGATTTACCAAGAATCTGTACATCATAGCAAAAATTGTTTCAACAAAAAAATATATCTCAGATAACTTTAAGTAAAAAAAATCTATAATCTTTTTTGTGTATAATGAGCCGTTCCCTCAGAAACAACGCTTAAAGCGACCGTCGATTTTGAACATTACGTTCGTGAAATCAATGTTCAATAAAATTTGTATCAGCTTAACGGTACAAATTCGATATCTTTTGATCCAAATGTCTTATCGACAAAAATCGAGATGTGTTTTAAAGGTAAAGAGGTTAGCTTCCGAGTGCAATTTTATATTTTTGCCGCAAGTAAACTTATATTTTGTAAAGGTGTTAAACGAATAAACGTGGCGCGATTTTTGCCATTTTTTATGATTTTTATGAGATCAATACAATCTATCCCTTTTATTAACTGGCCACTTTAAAAGTTCGATTATTAGAGCCTTTTAACGGCATACAATCTCTGATACATATTGCAAGAAATAGAGAAGTAATGGAAAATGTGATCGCTAACATGCATTAGTGGATTTGCATCTGAAGAAGAAGAAGATTAGAGCCTAAGCTTTGAAACCAATAGCACGAAATTTTAGTTTTGAGTTTTGAAAACAAATGTGACGCATTTGAAATATTACTAAGAAGCACTTGGATTTAAACTTTCACATAACAAACACTCTAAAACGTTTAAAACTTTACTCGACGTCCTTACTCGATGAAATGCGTACAGAAAGGATGGTAATTTATATAGATAAATTATTGTTAATGCATTGTGGAATATAAATATTCCCAGCATCGCTATGAATGCCTTGATTAAGCTTGGGTAAACAGTTTACTTTAATTGCTATCGAAATTTCACTTCATCTTCCCTCACTAGAGATCGCTAGTAGCATACTCTGGTAATTATTTTTCCTATAATTTCCATACTATTAGTCGGTGCATTTTGATTTGGTTTGAGTTTTCTTACGAGTCTCTTTGATGACGGGTAGACTCAGAATCACGTGTTAAAGAATGGTAAGAGACTCAAACTAAACCTAAAAACCGTGTTCTTGGTTAGAGAACCAAGATTATTCATCTGGGTTAGATTAAATTCTGTGTTTTTGATTTATATTTCAAATGCCTCATATTTGTTGCCACAACTCAAAATTAAAATTTCATATCATAGGTTTTAAAGACCGATTTCCAGAATTGAAAGTTTTACTACGACTGGTCAATGAAAGTGATCAATTTTATTATCTCACGGGAATCTTAAAAATGGTAAAAATCGCGACACGCTTATTTATTTAACACCTTTATAAAAACTGAGTTTATTCGCGGCAAACTAAAAAACTGTATTCAAAAGCTGCACTATTTACCTTTAAAAAGAATTTTTTTATCTTTGTTGATAGGACACTTGGATCAAAAGATATCGAATTTTTACCGTCGAACTCATACAAATTTTGTTGAACATTGATTTCGCAGACGTAAAATTTAAAGTATAAGTTTAAGTATACGCATTATCAATAAATTTTATTAGTATAGATGAGACTAAGGAAGTTATGGCATCTTGAGTTGATTTTGATTTTCGAAATCTACATTGAGATTTTGGGAGAATATGTTCTTGTTCTAACCAATATTCAATTCTATTTTTTTATTAACCTTTCTAAGCTCTTTAGAAAGCAAGAAGCTAGGGATATTGGTCTAAATGAACTATAGCAATTTTTTGGTTTCTTAGGTTTTTATAATAGGTAATAAATATATTCCTTCCAGCTCTCTGGAATTTGTGACGTATCATTATTTAGTAATGATATTTTATAGTGGTGGGGTATATACTAGATCATGGAGTATAAAATATTGACTTTACCTGGAGCACTGCTATTTTGTTGCATATCCCATATTTCAAATGATTCTTCTAAGCCAAACTTATATCTTGACACTGTTTCGCTGTATTCTGGAAAATATCGGGTACCCACTGAGGATATATTTTCTTATGAAAATTATCTAGCCAGCTGATATACCACCATATAACCATACTTCACTAATTTGTGTTTTGGAATTATTACTTTTGCATTATTCTACCCAATTCTGTTTTTTCTTTTGTTTAAAAAGTTTTTTGCGACAGCATCAAGTCTATTAAATTCAACTAAATTATTTCTTGTAGGATTTTTTTTGTATTTTATTTAGGCAATTTTTCGGGTATCAGCAGCAATTTTGCAACTGTCACACCACCATTGGTTTGAAATTTGGCTCGTATGTGTGACGTTAGATGAAAACTTTGGTATTGCTAAATTGGCTGCTTTATTAATATTTGCCATTATTTGTTGATAATTTCCGGGAGAATTTTCAGTTTCTAGTGCAGATGAGTATAATTTCCAATTGGCTTTGTTAAGCTTGCAGATCTTGTGATAGGTTTTGGTTGAAAATGATGTTATATGATCTGTTTCCATGTTTATGGTAATTGGAAAATGATTGGATCCATGAGACCTTGTAGGACTCTCCAAGTAAAAAATTTTGAAATATCCTGAGTACAAAAGGTTAAATCAAGAACGGATGCAGTCTTACTAGTTGCTAACCTAGGTGATCCATCATTTAGACATATCAAATTACAGTAAGTAATACATTCTAAAAGTTTTTTACCATATTTGTCTTTAGTATACATTAAAATCCTCTCCAATAATAAACGGTTTAGGTATGTCTTTAAAGAATTCCAATCATTGTCTTTCAGATATTTGGACCTTTGGTTCAATGTAAAATGACA